TAGATAGGAAAAAACTAAGGTTGCTGCTGGAAGAGGTGTTAGTGAGGCCAGTAGGGGGCATTCACCCTGCAGTCTGTGTGGGTCCTAATACTCCTAGGTCACTATACTGTAAAAGGCACCGTCCTTCGGATGAGACGTAAAACTGAAATCCTGGCTCTCTGTGGTCATTAAAAATCCAAGGGTGTCTCTCGAAAGGAGTAGAGGTGTTACCCTGACATCCGGGCCAAATTTCCCACTGGCCTTTACCAATCATGACCTCCTAATAATCCCCATCTATGAACTGGCTTCATCACTCTGCTCTCCTCCCCACTGATAGCTGGTGTGTGGGGAGTGTACTGGCACACTATGGCGGTCGTCGCATCATCCAAGTGGGGCTGCACAATGGTGGTGGAGGGGATCCCCATTACCTGTAAAGTGCCTTGGAGTGTCCAGAAAGTGCTGTGTAAGCTGAAGCAATTATAGGAAGGCTCCACAGTCAAAACGTATGCTTTCTTGCTTCTCTTTTCAGCATGGAATAAACCTCTTACTTGTTCCTTGTTTATTATATGTTTATTACGATTGTCTTACTGGACAAGTCTCCTGAGCCGCTCTTTGTGCTCGTGTTTCAGACGACGATGCTGAAATACGCGAGCTTGCTGAAAAGGAAAGGGTCCTGGGCCAGGAAGAAGTACAAGGTTTGAAGAAAAAGGTAGAAGCCAATGCAGAAGCGTCCACCATTGGAGTGCACTAGAGGTTTTATGTTTTTTTGTCATATATATGTATAACTGATAAAAGGAGATTTTTATGTTGTACGTAAGGTTTAAAAGATTAAAAACATCAATTGCTTCAGGATGTTCAGAGTTCACAGCACTGTGGTCATATTTATCCTGCAGTCCATGTCATTTTCAGGTATTTATTTGTTTGCTGCAGTTCAACAGATTCCAAAAACTTTTAATGAATAAATGAATATGTTATATTGTACAGTATGTCCTTGCATTTATTTTTATATTGTTGGCTTGGATAGATTGGGTATCCATCAAAAAACACTGTGTGAAAAAAACCCTTTCAGCCAAGCTACAGTTTAATTAAAAAATAAAGCAATAACCTTTTTGTCTGGATGAGAGCAGGTAAACTGTGCCCAATATAGTAAATCATCACTACAGGCTACAGCACTGATACTAAGGCTTGCCGTTTTAAATGTTTGGAGCTTGATCATGCATTTTCTGTAGATACAAATACCTGTAGGTATAAATGACTTACAACCCGACGGAGGGTTTTAAAAAAAGACAAAAAGTGAATTTGTTTGGCTGACTGTGATTTCAGATCCTTTCTCACCTGGTTCCCACTGAAGAGGCTGACGAAGGCGACCTGGTCTTGGAGGTGACAGCGGGCGTCGGGGGACAAGAGGCAATGCTCTTTGCGGCCGAGATTTTCCACATGTACCAGAACTTCGCCTCTTTCCAGGGATGGAGGTTCGAAACCCTGGA